GAATATTAAAAATGCATGAAATTTATTTAATTTTCTTTATGTATGATGAAGATATTTCAAGATCTCTAAGATTAACGATTTATTATTTAAAATAATTTTTGTTTAGCTGCTAATACTATTTTTGTTTATAATTATAGTTAATTCTAATAATTAATTATAAATTTAATTTTATCATTAATTTTAAATATTATTTGTTTTATAATTAATAAGCTTTTCTCCGCAAAAAGTATGATACTTCAATATTTAGGAATTATAATAAGTTTATGTTCATTAAGTTTTTGTTATTATAGTATTTTGGTAAATGTTGCAAATACTACATATGATGTGTCTAATAGTTGGATTTAATCTTATTGTGTTTTATTAGCTTATGATATTGCTATTATTGGTATTATAGTTTCTACTATTAAGTATATATTATTTAGAAGTAACACTTAATAAAGAAAATGTAAGTATGTTTTTTGTTAAGTAATAAGAGAAAAGCTGTATACAACATTATAAATTTAAAAAATTATTAAAATATTTGAATAAAAATTAGAAATAATTTGAATATATGTATTTTGATGATATATATATAAAATAAAATATTTAATAAGATTAATATTACGTTTTTAATTTAAAAATAAATTTAATTAAATTAAATTAAATTAAATTAAATTAAATTAAATTAAATTAAATTATAAAATATTAAATTAAATTTAAATAATATCTAAATAATAATTATTTATATATTTTTTTTTAATTAAATTTTATATTGATTTATAATTTTAATTTTAATTTTTTTTGTTTATTATACTAGTTTATATATTTTTCATATATATTTTATTAATAAAAAATATTTTTTAAAATATAGATTTGATTAAATAATTTTTATAAATATGTAATATTTTTTATTTATTTTTAAAACTTTATAAATAAATTTTAATTATTTTAATTTTTGTATTTTATTTTATTTTTTTCAATTTATTAATATTTATATTGTAAAGAATTTAATAATAAATGAATTTTTTCTATAATTATTAATTAATTATAATATTATTTTATTTTTATTTTTAAAATTATTTATATCTTTTATAAATATATAAATAATACATATATTTTATTTTAAATTATTTTTAAATTAAAATTAATTTAATTTATAATAAAAAATTATAAAAAATAATAATATTAATTATTTATTTTTTTTTAAAAAAAAAAATTTCAAATATATATAATATATATATATTTAAAAAGAATAATATACTTTTTAAATTATTTAAAAATATTATAAAAATTTATTTTTCATATTATATATAATTTATATAATTTTATTTTATACTCTCTAATACATAACAAAAATTATAAATTACTTATTTCCGTCAACAAAAATAATATTTAATATATTTAAATATATTTTTTAAAATAATAATAATATTTTAATACAATACTTTGTAATTATATAAATAATTAATTTATTAATTTAATATATATATTAAGAAAAGGAATGTGAATTTACAAAATATTTTAAATTTTGAATGCAAAATTATTGTTAGATGTTTAGATTAACATTTATTTTATTATAAAATTTTAAGAAATAATAACCATTTATAATTAATATTTTTTTTATTAATATTAAAAAATTTAATTTTAAATTCGATTTTTTTTTTATATTAAATAGAAAATATATATTATTAAAGGCAATAATTTATTCTTAACATCTTCTGTAATATTTAATATTAAATAAAATTATTATATTTATATTAGTTTTCAAAAAATGTTTAAAAAAAATTAATCTAAATATTAAAAATAAATATAATATAATTTAAAAAAAATTAATAATTAATAATTTTATAAAAATATAATGAATAAAAAAATTTTTAATATTATTTGTCATATTATATTTTTTTTATAATATCATATAATCAAAAATAATAAATAGTTAGAAAATAAATTAAAATCAAATATCAAATTAAAAAAAAATGATCGTTAAAAATGAATAATTTATTTCTAAAAAACAATAAAATTTTATTATGTTTATATAAATATATTTAATTCTATTAATAAGATCTTAAACAATTTTAAAATAATGTTTAAATTAACAATATTTTACTTAATAAAATGCTCAAGATTGCGGTTTTGTTCTTTCTTCATTTTTTGGAACTTAATGGATAAGTACTTGTGCATCTTAATCTCTATTAGGAGGATTTAATATATGCTCAATTAGTTGTACTATAACTATTTCAATTGATATACCGAATCCAATATTTAGAATATAACTATAATTTAAATATATTTTGATAGATTCTTGGGATACTAAAGATTATCTGAGTATTTTAATAAATGAATAGATAATTTAAATAGTAAAAAAGCCAAGTTCAAATGGACCTTATGCATTATGTGGATTAAGTAATTTTGGAGAAGAATTTTTAATATTTAATTATTAAATAAATTATAATTAATAAAATATAAAAATTAAATTAAAAACGACAACTGATTAATCGCCAGATGATGAATCTTTAGGAATGAGAGATTTTGTATTTTCAGTTTATTATTGTTTAAACGGATGTTCTTCTTGTATTAATGCGATATCGTGTACAAATTGTATTTAAGGATATTATCTAGATAACTCTATTTGTGTTTAAAATTGTCCTATTGGGAAATATAAAAATGATATAAATAGAAATTGTACTTCTTGTGATAATAGTTGTTCTTCGTGTACAAGTTTAAATATATGTTAAATCTGCAATTAAGGATTTTATTTCGATAATTCTTTTTGCGTTTAAAATTGTCCTATTGGGAAGTTTAAAAATGATTCGGATAGAACTTGTAATTCATGCGATAATAGCTGTTCTTCGTGTACAAGTTTGAGTCAATGTTAGAGCTGCAATTAAGGATTTTATCTAGAAAATGTTTCTTGTGTTTAAGAATGTCCTATTGGGAAGTTTAAAAATGATTCTGATAGAACTTGTACATTATGCGATAATAGTTGTTCTTCGTGTACAAGTTTAAATATATGTTAAAGCTGCAATTAAGGATTTTATTTAGATAATACTATTTGTGTTTAAGAATGTCCTATTGGGAAGTTTAAAAATGATTCTGATAGAACTTGTACATTATGTGATAATAGTTGTTCTTTGTGTACAAGTTTAAATATATGTTAAAGCTGCAATTAAAGATTTTATTTCGATAATTCTTTTTGCGTTTAAAATTGTCCTATTGGAAAATATAATTATGATTTAGATATGACTTGTACATTATGCGATAATAGCTGTTCGTCGTGTACAAGTTTGAGTCAATGTTAGAGTTGCAATTAAGGTTTTTATCTAGAAAATGTTTCTTGTATTTAAGAATGTCCTATTGGGAAGTTTAAAAATGATTCTGATAGAACTTGTACATTATGTAATAATAGTTGTTCTTCGTGTACAAGTTTAAATCAATGTTAGAGTTGCAATTAAGGATTTTATCTCGATAATTCTGTTTGTGTTTAAGAATGTTCTGTTGGGAAGTTTAAAAATAATTCTGATAGAACTTGTACTTCATGTGATAATAGTTGTTCTTCGTGTACAAGTTTAAATATATGTTAAAGCTGCAATTAAGGATTTTATTTAGATAATACTATTTGTGTTTAAGAATGTCCTATTGGAAAGTTTAAAAATAATTTAAATAATACTTGTACTTTATGTGATAATAGTTGTACTTAATGTACCAGTTTAAGTATATGTTAAAGTTGCAATTAAGGATTTTATCTCGATAATTCTGTTTGTGTTTAAGAATGTCCTATTGGGAAGTTTAAAAATAATCCAGATAGAACTTGTACTTCATGTGATAATAGTTGTTCTTCGTGTACAAGTTTAAGTATATGTTAAAGCTGCAATTAAGGATTTTATCTAGAAAATGTTTCTTGTATTTAAGAATGTCCTATTGGGAAGTTTGAAAATGATTCTGATAGAACTTGTACATTATGTGATAATAGTTGTTCTTCGTGTACAAGTTTAAATATATGTTAAAGCTGCAATTAAGGATTTTATTTAGATAATACTATTTGTGTTTAAGAATGTCCTATTGGGAAGTTTAAAAATAATTCTGATAGAACTTGTACATTATGTGATAATAGTTGTACTTAATGTACCAGTTTAAGTATATGTTAAAGTTGCAATTAAGGATTTTATCTAGAAAATGTATCTTGCATTTAAGAATGTCCTATTGGAAAGTTTAAAAATAATTTAAATAGAACTTGTACTTTATGTGATAATAGTTGTACTTAATGTACCAGTTTAAGTATATGTTAAAGTTGCAATTAAGGATTTTATCTTAATAACTCTATTTGTGTTTAAGAATGCCCTGTTGGGAAGTTTAAAAATAATTCTGATAGAACTTGTACTTCATGTGATAGTAGTTGTTTTTCGTGTACAAGTTTATCTTTATGCTAAAGCTGCAATTAAGGATTTTATCTAGAAAATGTTTCTTGTATTTAAGAATGTCCTATTGGGAAGTTTAAAAATAATCCAGATAGAACTTGTATTTAATGTGATACTAGTTGTTCTTCGTGTACAAGTACAACTTTATGCTAAAGCTGCAATTAAGGATTTTATCTCGATAACTCTATTTGTATTTAAGAATGTCCTATTGGGAAGTTTAAAAATGATTTAAATAGAACTTGTACTTCATGTGATAGTAGTTGTTCTTCATGTACAGGTTTATCTATATGCTAAAGCTGCAATAAATTGTTTTATCTAGATAACTCTTTTTGCGTTAAGCAATGCCCGATTGGTAAATTTAAAAATGATTCTGATAAAACTTGTACATTATGTGATGTTAGTTGTTCTTCGTGTACAAGCACAACTTTATGCTAAAGTTGCAATTTAAACTTTTTTCTAGATAACTCTTTATGTGTTTCGGAATGTCCGATTGGGAAGTTTAAAAATAATTCAAATAGAACTTGTACTTCATGTGATAGCAAGTGTGAAAATTGTACTAGTTTAACTTTATGCTAAAGCTGTAATTTAGGATTTTTTTTTGATAATTAGAGTTGCTTAATAGATTGTCAATAAGGCAAATATAAAAATGCAAGTAATAGATAATGTTCATTTTGTGACAACAAATGTAAATCATGTGATAATGGTTTGACTTGTAATGGCTGTTTTGGAAATAGAGTTGGAGATTAATGCGATTGTCCTTTGTATTCAATCTTTTCAAATGATTATTAAAAATAATGTTTTGAATGTAAAAATGTGCTTATTGGATGTGGGTAATGCACTATAAATGAATGTATCTCATGCATTCCTGATTTATATTTTGATTTTAATTAATTGAAATAATGTGATTCTTGTTAAGAATTAAATGTTTAAATTATTTTTAGTAACGATTTTGAACTATTATTTGTTAATTTTGATTATTTTAATTTAGGAGTAATAACTAATCTAATTTTGAATAATTCGAATTTTTAAAATGATTAATAAAAATCAAGGTTTTCTTATTTACTTTGTTCAGAAGTTTTAAATTAATAATTTATTACATAAAAATTAAGTAATGATATTGCCTGTTCTTTTATTTAAAATAAGCTTACTATTAGATTAAGTCCTTAAAGCATAATAAACAAAGATGATATAATAGTTATTAAAGAAAATGTATTCAAAATTACATATAAAGGAGTAGAATGTACTTAATTTATTTAAAAAATAAAAGGAAAAATTATTTATGATTAAAATCCTTTAAGTCCTATAATTACAATAAATTCGCCAACTTTAATTTCGAAATGTGATGAATTATTTATTCAAATTAGTTAATTATAAAATATAGGAAAAAGAATTCCTAAAAGTATAAATTGGATATCAATAGCTTCATCTGAAAGTTAATAATTTATAAATTAATTGAATGCATAATTATAATAATAATAAAATAATTTTATATTAGTTATTCCAAGTATGACTTTTAAAGGAAGTAGCTTTTATCAATTCGAAGTATAAATAGAAACTGTTTTTTAACAAAAGTAAAGTGTAGTTATAAATATAAATACAAAAAATGATAAATTTATTGATTTATAATTAGAAAACAGTAAAGATATTGTTTTTAGGTATGAAGAATTCAAACTTAAAGTTATTTTTTATTATCTATAATGCGATCCTATAGAAAAATTAAAAAAAGTGAATGAAAAAATACTATTAAAAATCGAATAAATTATTAATTTGTAAAATAATTTAAATATAAATTTTGAGAATTAAACTATGGATAATGAACATACAATTAATATATAGCCTTATATCTTAGTTTTAGATTAATAATATGACATAAAAATAACTGTCTCTGATGTTAACAATAGTTAAATATTTTAAGAAATTATACACTCATTTTAGGTAAAAAAAAGCCAACAAATAGTAAAAATTTAAGGTTTGAGCAATATTTAATCTTTTTCGAATTCTTTTTATGTAAATGCTTTCATTGATAATTTAGATTTATCTCCAAGTGAAAAAGAAGTATAAAAAAACAATAACTATGGTATTAAAACTAAATGGAAATGTATAACTGCAAAAAGTTAAAGCGATTGTCGGGATTATAAAAATGATTTAATTGTTGACCCTAATATGGAATAAAATATATTGTAAATAAAAGTATAAGAAAAATCTTTAGAAGCCTATAATCTTTATTATTTTATTTTAGAAGGAGAAAAAGATGGTATCGTAGTTTAAGACATATCAAGTTTTATTATTTTGGAATAAAATATACCTCCTTTAAATTCTATTACATCAATAAACGATTTTTCTTAAAGAATAAATTTAAATTAATAAATTTTTGTATAATTAAATTATGAAGGAAAAAATAATTTAGACAATTTATTTTTTAGTGGCGCTGTATTGTATTAAAACGATGTGAAAAATACTATAAAGTTTTTTCATAATTAAGTAAGATTTTAAACATGGAATTATTTTAATGATTTTTTAAATGAAGAAGAAAATTCTTATTAAATAAGATTTGCAGTTTTTGATCCTTAGTATATAATGCCTTCTTTAATTATTTTTTCTTTAAAAGCTAATTTGCCGCCTTTAAATTGCCTTTTTAAAAATTTTAATAATTAATAATAAGAAATTTTTAGTTTAAAATAAAATTATGTTTTCTAAATTAATAACTGCTAAGATTAAGATTAGCCTCTATATTATAATTTCTTTTATTATAAAAGTTAAGAAGATTTTTAATATGAAATTTTAAATCCGCAATTTACTAAGAGATATGCTCTAAATGTAAAATCTACTATCAGTAGAATATCAACGATTTTGCCGTTCGGGGCAAAAGTAATCATAGGCTGTGTATTTGATAATTTGGGTGCGGTTAGAAATATGACTTAAAATGTTGAAATAAAAAATTCTTATGAAAACGTTTAATAATATGTTTAGTTAGTGCAAGAAACTTACAAAATAATTATTTAAATACCTTTTAAATAACAAATAGTTATTTAACTATGTATTCTTGTTTAAGATATTGTTTCTAATATATTAATAAACGAAGAGCTAAAATAAGATTAAAATTTAATTAAAATTGTCAAAAATATTTACGAAGATTTACTTTTTTAATAATAAAAATTTAATGATAATCAAGATGTTTAAGTCTAAATATAAATGACAATTAACTTAATTTCTTAAAACTTATTAGATTAAATAATGAATATTTTAAAATACAAAGATATATTAGATTATTTATCGAAAATAGAATAAACTTTAATTGAATAAGAAAATATAATAAAAAAAATATAAGCTAAAGACGTTTAGTAATATTAATAATATTTTTCGTCTATATAATTAGTTTTATAATAAGTTTCTAGTATATAAAGTATTCAAAAAATAGACAGAGGGAAATTTTCGGATGAAGAAAATATTTTTTTAGATAAATAATATGTCGGTTTAATCTAACTTTCATCAGAAATTTTAAATCTCAATGTTATTCCTAACGAGTCTTAGATTTCTTAAAAAAATATAGTTAAATCTTAAAAAGTAAGCTTTAAGTTTTTAAAATAAAATTACTTGACTAATTCTTATGAAAATAATGAATAATAATAAAATTAAGATGATTTTAATGATAATGAATAAAATTATGAAAGTTATAGATGGAGAAGGCTAAGAAAAAATTACTTATGATGTATAAATAAGAAAGTATCCTGCTAATATAGTTAAATATGATAAAAGTTTTCCTTATCCAGATAAATAATTATTTTAAGTATTTGATAATTAAATAACTTATTAAACTGTTAATAAATAGACAAATGAAATATAAAAATAACCTATTAATACTTAAATTGCTAATACATTCACTCTTCCTAATCCTTCGAATTCTACAACTGGGTTTTCGTGTTTAACTTAAATTAATAATAAATGGGAATAAGGAAACTGTAATAAAGTTTAATAAATAAATAAAAAGAAATTAGTATCTTCAGTTATATGTTAATGTAAAAAATAGGGAAAATAAACACTAGTGGATGATATAGAAAGCATTTTTACGGATAATCAGAATTTAAAAAATATGTTTAGTGAATAAGGAATTGAAAATTTAAAAAATTTTAGCGAATGGTATAAATATGCAACTGTATGGATTATTTATATATCGAATTAATTCTACATTATATTTTTAGTTTATTTGAGATAAAAAGATAATGCCGCTATCGTTAAAAAAAAAATTACTGATTTAATAAAATAAGATTATATTAAAAAAAGTTCTTTGTACTTTAAAAATTTAGG